AGGCCGAGGAGCCAAAGGTACCACAACTTCGTGTGTTATCCACAACAACCGATCTCAGAACGACATGTTTGTCCTCCAAGACTGGAACTTGTATTCTTGCTATCGTACCCGTACCTAGCGACCCAAATCTACCTCCATCAATGAGTGCTCTCCAAGCTCTAAACTCTCTTTCGGATATCGAGCGCAAGCATGCTTTGCGTCAGGCGCGCCTCTTCCCTTTTTACGTTGCCCCAGATGACATTGAAGAAGTTCCTAAGCTCCGAGACGAACTGGGCCTCAAGTCTGACATCGTTGAAATAATTGCCATCAACGGAAAGCGAGGATGGTGGCGTCGATACGATTCTGCCGATGGCTCAAAGTATGGCGTTGTTGACTTGGAGAAATGGGTTGATCAAGTTCGGATGGGAGAGGCCGAGAAGCACAAGATTCCTGAGGGAGCTCTTCTGAGCGAGAGCAAGGAGGAACCGAAAGTGGAACCCGAGGTCACCCCTGAACAAGAACCTGAAAAGGAACCTGAGCAAGAACCTGAGGCACCTCCACAGGATGAGCCAGAACAGAAGACAGAAAAAGAACCCGATCATGAACCTGAAGCGACACCCTCAGCTACCCCCGAGACGGAACCACAGCAAGAGACTACCGAATCCCCGAAGGAACCGAAGACCGCAGTACATGAAGAGCTGTGAGTATGTTCTTTGGTGACGGGATCTTTCCCTCAGGCTCGGTCAGATCCTCCTATATGTATGTAGCCCATGGAGTTTATTCGGCGAAATGTATCATTTGTGTTCCCCAGTTAAGCTTGAGCCAATCAAAATAATCCAGTTTTATTGATCTTGTCTTATCGCTCTTCTACAGAGTGGAAACCGTTTTGAGGAAGCGTTTAGAATTATTTCGTCACCACGGACTCACAACTGACAGCTGTAAAGACAACAAAGAAACGTATGTATTGCCTCTAGAGCCAAAGGACCAACGACCAGACCACTTACCCATGGGGTTCAAACACCAATCCTAATGCCGTGTAATCGATCAAAGACAGCCCAAACAGCATCTGACACCAAAAAGCAGCTTAACATTACAATTTTTCCTTAATTGATCATTAATATTTGCCTCATTTCCGTCTTCCTTCTGTACCCCGTTTAATTTTCTTCCGCTCCTTACTGCTAATCTCTTTCTCGTATATTTCCCTTGCCGTCTCGCCCGCCTTGCGCTTCGCTGGCTTCGAAGACTTTACGCTCACCGTAGGAACGTTTCCGTTCTTCCCTACCGAAGCACGAACTTGTTTTTCCGCATCGTCCCAAGCCGCGGCGCCATTGTCGATTTCGTATCTGATGGAAAGAGGAGCGAGAGATGAGTAAACCCGATACCCTGAAAAGAGCCGACTGCGAAATATGATAGGAAAGGAGAACTTACTGATCCAAGGGCAGCGCATCAATAAGTGCGCGCTGCTTTTCTCTCAACTCCTTATCGATTTCTTGACCACCTTCTTTGAGTTCTTGGTCTAGTTCCACGTCAAGAGGTTTGAATCGTTGGTCGATAATTTCGTCATCATGCACGCCTGTGGCATCCTTTGGAGCCACGCCAACATCTGCTGGGGGCAAGGATTCTGCAACGGCGCCTTCGACCAGTGAGCGGAAGTAGGTGGATACTTTTCTGATGATTTTGATGAACATTGCCATCAGTTGGGATGCTGCGACGTTCAGTTCCTTCTCGACATCATCAAAGGTCTTACGCTGCAGACCAATAGCTAAAAGAATCGATTGTTGGACACCGGAGAGATTGACGGAAGGAGATAGTCGGCCAGAGAAGTAGAAGGATGCGATGGTCGGCACCATGTCGAGAATAACGTGATAATCAAGGAGATTGTTTGCATAGCTGTCAAGTCGCTTGAGGTCGAAGGGGGAAAAGGAGGCGTCTAGGTCCGATTTGGTAAGAGGAACGAGTTTGGTGGATGGGTCGATTTTAGAGATGGCGTTGGCTGACTCGCCGATGCTGAGGGAGAGGACGGATGAGAAATCGCGGAACTGATAGGATAGGAGGGATAGAAAGCGTTTGTGGAAATCGCTGACATAGGCACCGAGCCAGGAAGTATCGTTTGCGCCTGTTGATAACGTTCGAAGCATAACACAGGAGTGCTCCCCGGTGAGGTCGTTTGGTGTTTGTCTGAGGTACACTGGAGCGAAGCTGGCCCGTTTCCAGAACTTGTGAAGAGGTCCAGTCAATCCGTAGCTGACACCAACGTAGTCAAGTGAATCCGGTTTTCTTTCGGACAGTTTTCCAAATAGTGGTGGCATGGATCGGATATCCCTGACATGAATATTATCGTCCAGGAGGTTGGCATTTTCTAATTCAGCATCCGTGACTCTAACCATCTCGTCGGAGGGCAGGTCATCATCCTCGGATAAACTAGCGAATTTGCCTTCGTAGAAATCAACTAGTAGCTCGAGGGCGCGAGATCCATATCCCATATTAAGGTAATCGGGATTTGTGGCTATGCGGACAACTCTAGCACCAGATAATCCCGCAAATTCTTCGTCTTGGAATTGCTGGCTTACAAGCCATGGAATAAGGTCTCCACCAGCTCTCTGTCCTCGGCTAAGGCCATTGAGCACGCTTTGCTTGCTTATTTGACCTTCAAGAGCAACCTGAATAACACAGAGAGGCTCTGGGAGTTTGGAAGCATTTTCCTCGACCGGTGGAACAAGGACAAAGAGTTGATGCGCGGGGGCGTCACTCATTAGCTGAAGGTCATTAGGCGAGTTTTTGTAATGGCTGGCTACGTAAAGTGCCATCATCTGCTGAAGAAACTTTTCAGAAACGGGATGAAAGGAAAATAGGGTATCTCGGTTGACATAAAGCAATTCGCATTGGGACGGATGCGGGCAGCCTTGCGTGTTCATCTTAGATCTCGGCAATGTTGCATCGAGACAAAGCAGTTTGTTAAGCCATTTCTCAACGGCATCCCCTTGGGCATATCTGATAGGTTCGGATAGGGTTATTTCTCTTAGGGACCTGCCGCCAATGTTCTGGCTTTCTGACTTCTTCACCGACTTCCCAGTTGATCGATCTGCAATATCGGTATCGTCGTTGGCGGATTTCATCCCTCCTCTGGATTGTTCGCGTAGCTGCTGGATGAGCTTGAGAGACAAGGATCTCCCGGTACCTTCGTATCCGTTGATAGTAGACGCCATAAAAACGAGATATGGGCCCATCAACTTCCTAACGAGCGGCAGCGGGATAGCTGCAGCCTCGTCAATGACCAGCAATTCAGCTTGACCCAAGGCAAAGGCATCCTGTGGTTGGATGTATTGTATGGTCTGCCGATGTTGTCGATGTACATTAACACGCACAATGGCTTTATTAAAAGCAGGATTTGTAGACTGAAGGATGGTGTAGTCGACGTGGTCCAGGTAACCCAATGCGTCAAATCCCTTGAAGACGAATTCGAAGAGAGTCTTCAAGTTCTCCGGACTGGGTGAGGTAATGAATATATTACTGTAGCCATGTGCAATGGCTGCCGCAATCGCAACACCGAGGGCGGCAGACTTTCCACGACCCCGCGCTGCGGTCAGGGCGACCGTGCTGCGCAGTGTTTTCTCTGCGATTGCATCAACGAATGTAAGGAGGGCCTTTGCTTGATCGACCGTCTTGGCTAGGGTTACCAGGGAGCCAACGGGCTGGGTGTCTGCAAGTTTATCTTTTATTGACTGGAGCTCTTTTCTCGCTGGAGAATTCGAATCCGCGGTCGAGTCTACAGGCGGAAGCTGTTTAACGTCCTTCCCGCCGGAAATCGGCAGAACGTTGAGCTCATCGTCCACCACGAGACATGAATTGCAGCTTCCAAGGGACAGAATGAAACGCTCGTTGAACCGTGCCACTACATCATCGTGCGCTTCTGTTCGGTATCTCGAGTGGATGTCCATTGACAATGTGTATAGCTGCTTCAAGCTTTTCATCCCCTTTAAAAGCAACACCACAAGCCCTCCACCTTCGACCGTCTCGATTGTTCGCGCAAGCAGATTGGGCGTAAGGGCTTCGAAATCCTGTAGTATACACATACCGTAGGTGTTTCCGAGAATCTTGTCTGTCTCTTTGTAGTAAACATAGCGAATCTGATTCAGGGTGACGAAGAGTTCGAACGGGTCTTCGGTGTTGGGGTCACGGATGCCTCGCTTGATTTCCTTCTTGATCTTGGCTTCGCGCTTCTTCCGGTGACTTGTGAAGCCCAACAGATCCTTCTTGTACGCCCAGAGTACCGATTTGTTCTGCTTAACATCGACGCTGGACATTATGTAGTGGAGGTGGACGATGACATCTTTGGCGCGATCTCCCACTACCACGAAGAAGCTTCTCTTCTTCTCCTGCACGCCATTTCGGATCAGGGCCGGGATACGCGAGTCTATCGCCTTCCGGGGCATCGTGTGGTCTTTGTCTTTCTTTCTTTCCTCTTCTTCCTCTTCCTCTTCTTCTTCTTTTTTATTTTTTATTTTTTTATTTTTTTACTTTTATTTCTTAATGGGAGCGGGAAAAGCTCTCAAGCAGAGAAGAAGAAAGCGAGGAATGGATTTATCGGCATCCAGTTCGACGGGAGGGTAGATGGGACGATTGCCGGCGTCTCAACTAATTTGCAGGGAGCTTCAGGATGTCAGTTCTCAGGTCACCCGTCCATTCCAAAATGCCCAATCGCCGCCGGTAACGAGCTGCAACCACCGCGTCTCTCGCAGACCTTCTCACCATCAGCCCTTTTTTTTTTTGGCGATGCCCCGGGTAAAACTGCCCCATGCGTCGGCTCTCCCCGCCGCGGCAACTACAAGCGAGGGATTGGCGCAACGGCTTCTCACGTGATCGGGTTACGCGCGTGTTACGTCATCGGGCTGCCGACGATTATTGACGTTTCGGGAAGGGAAGTTAGGCGGTTTAAGGTTAAACTGGACTCCTGACTGTCGGCAACGGGCGCTGCCAATCTCCTGGGCAGGGCCAAGCGACGCCCTTGGGACAGGCTTTTTATCCCGCCCGTCTCCCTGCCACCATGGCTGCTGGTGCTGCTTGTTGATGCTTACTGACGCTGCCGATGCCGCTGCTACTCTCAGGCTCTCGTCTGTGTAGTAGGGATTCGGGATGATCTTTCGGGTTTTATTTCGGTTTCAATGCTTATATTTTATATTGCCGGAGTTTCTTTTCGACGGTGGTGAAGAGGATGTCCATTTCATTTAGGTACGCAGCACGATGAACCCTGGGTGGCCGTTTTCATTTCCAGGCCACGAATCCACTATGGATGAGCCCATGCTAACAACAAACACAGTGTATTTATTCTCAGCACGTCTCTACTGCTGTTGTCCGCTGAGGATTCGTTCGCCTTCAGTATGGTGCTCACGCTCCGGTGGCTGCCCCCCCATCGAGCTAATTGTTCCGGAATCCAGGTCGCCCTGCGGAATCGGCCGCGTTCGCGCTCTTCTCTTCCGGGGTTTCTCTCTTGATATTCAGCTTCGTCGTTTCCACCGGTCGAACGGCTAAAGATGACCGGACGTGTCCCGATACTCCGTTTTCAGACTTTCTCTTGGACACTCGCTCCAGAGTACCCTTACGCTCCGACGCGGCGGAAAAGCTACGGAGGCTAACGGGTGCGAAAATACGGCAAACATGGATTGTAATTATGTTTGCAGTGGCCGCCTTGTGCCTACGAGTGGAGCTTTATCGCCAATCAGTGACACGTTCTCACTGCGGCTCGATAAGCAGTTTGGTATGACGCACATTGAGACTACTAGACAACTGTCTAATGGGAGGTCTCTATTCTACAGACTTTTATGCCTCTCGTGTTGGCCGTATACGAGTATTTCCTCAGCAAAACTCGGTCATCCGGCGACCAGACATTCTCGGACAAGATCCAGAAAAAGCACTTCAACTACATCTCCTCCACGGTCTTGCTAGCAATCGCCGGTATTCTTACCGCGGCCTTGAAGTATGGACGGGAGAGCACCTTTATATGTCCCTCCCTGGGACATGATTCAGGAATAACGCTTTCCTTCCAGCTTCTGGCTGTCGTTCTTGAGATCAGTCTTGCTTTGGCCCTGGAATCGTTGGTTAGTTGCGCCGCTCGCGGTCTAGATGGCACAGCTTGGCAGGTGTCGACGCTCTGGGGAACCGTGTTATTGGTGAGTCGCTGCGTAATGTTCTCCCGCACGCTATGCATTAACAAGCGCTGTAAACCAGGCGGCCGGGGTCATCCGAGCGGTAATCGAAGTCATAATACTTAAAGTATCCAATTCCCCAATGCTCCCGCCCCTGTCGGCATCTTACGTTGAGGATACACTAAGGCAAAGCGCACTGATTGCAATTTCCTGCGTTGCCGCATCCAAGGCTGTAAGTGAATCGGAAATACCCAATCCCCGATTTCCGCGCATGGTTTAATCGGTGCCTATATAGGTTTCCCATGTTACTATTTTAACCTTATCTTTTGTTTTCTCTTTTATTTCCACATATGTATCTCTTCTGCCATATATCTGGATTGTTTCTTCCCCATTCCCCCCGTTGGATGTCTCTAAGGCGGTTCTCGCCGCATTTCTCATACATACTGCTGGATACCTGTATCCCAGGTCAAGTTTTTCTTCCATGTCCGATGGGAAGAGAATCCCCCGACTTAACGCTTGTCTGCGTTGGATGATCCTAGTATCGCTTGGGGTGTTCCTAACTTTAGCGTTTTCACACAATAATGTCACAGCCTATCATCCAATCAGTATCCTCATCTCCGGTGCGAAACGAGAGCATGAAATATGGATACAAAAAGCTAGTAATAGCATGAACCTCAAGGAAGCTGTTACTGAATATCGAAGACGCTACCACCAGGCTCCGCCTCCGTATGTAATTCGTGTCCCGCCCGAATAAATAGGTATGGGTTCTGACAAGGTCATAGAGGCTTTGATTTATGGTATGAATATGCCACAAATCGGTCGTCGCCAATAATTGACGACTACGACCAGGTCTACGACGATCTTCTTCCATTCCGGGCCCTCACGCCGAAGCATCTGAGAGAACTAGTACTCTTGATGACAAGCGACCAATGGAATGACGTATCGGCAGTAAACATCCGAGATGGAAAGGCTGAGGCCCAGGCAGATATAAAACCGACTCACCGGTGGATGATCGAGGGTATCGCTCTGATGATCGAACCATTTGCCCATCATCTCCCGGATATGGACATTGCCTTTAATCTCAATGACGAGTGCCGGGTTGCTGTGCCTTGGGAACGGCTTCACTCGATGCAGCATTCTGCGCATGTCCAGATTTCCTCTCCACGAGAGAGCCTTGTAAATACGTGGTCTGAAAATCGCGCGCAGGGATGGGTCCGTAGTGAAATACCGGGTCGCTCTTCGCAAAGACTTTTTACCGACTATGCCTTTGAGACAACATACGATCCCATTGGTCGCTCCCTGTGCCCACCAACGTCCAAGGCTCGTACAGCATACATATGGGATAAACAAACGCTGTGTACCACATGCGCCCGACCCCATTCTCTCGGCCAATTTCTCCGACGGTGGGAATTATCCGGTGATATCTGCCATCAGCCCGACCTGGCCTTTATGCATGGGTTCTTCTTATCGCCAGCGTCACTCAAGGTTTCGCGGAAGCTTCTTCCTATCTTCAGCCAAAGTAAGGTTTCCGGTTTTAACGATATCCTCTATCCGAGTTCCTGGAATTACCTGGATAAGGCGAAATATGCTCCTTCCGACGAGTTCCCGGATCCTCTGTACTCTGAAAAGGAGCCCACCGTCTTCTGGCGGGGTACCACATCCGAAGGTGGAAGCCGACATGGGACGTGGAAAGGCATGGTTCGGCAGCGTCTCATCCACCTCGCCAATAACCACACTTCTAAGCACGTCTCTGTCCTTCTCCCAGCTGAAAATAATGGGAAATATGCCTACAAAACGTTCCGAGGATCGGAACTACTCCCCTCCCTTGGCCTGAATACGTCCATATTCATCGCCGAATCCGTAGCCCGTTGTGGTAGAACAGATTGCAGTGCACAGACCTCTGAGCTCGGCACCGTTCCTCGCACGGATTTCCAAAACCACTGGAAATACAGATTCCTCTTTGACATGGATGGCGCCGGGTTTAGCGGACGCTTTCTCCCGTTCCTCAGGAGTCGCAGCTTACCATTCCGCACTGCACTGTTCCGTCAGTGGCTGGACTCACGTCTTACGCCGTGGTTGCATTTTGTCCCCCAGGATCTGAGGTTGCATGATTTTTACAGCACGTTGGCATATTTTGCGGGCGCAAGGGAACTTGATGAAAATGGGAAAACGAGGAAGACGATCATGAAAGCACATGAACATGAAGGGAGGCAGATTGCCGAGGAAGGGAAAAAATGGGCGGAAAAAGCGCTCAGGAAAGAGGATATGGAGATATATATGTTTCGTTTGCTGCTGGAATGGGCTAGGCTAACCGATGACCGGAGGGATGAGTTAGGGTTCTCCATGTGAGGGTTGAAAATTTTTGACATGACGGCTTTTTGATCGGATTTGATGGATACATATTTTGACACTATTTGGATAATTTTTTTTCTTTTACCACCATCATCATCATCATTATTATTATTATTATATTTGTTTATATTATTTAGCTCTTATTTTGGAATTCATCTGGACTGTGCGGAGAAGAGTACCTCAGACTAAAATTAGTTGACCTGTTTTTTAATCGATGCCTCTTGTAAACAATCGACGGATAAACTGGTTTGATAGTTTTTCAGATCAGGCATCAGGTTCCAGGAGTAGCTGGTCTCATAAATGAGACAAGTCTTTCTCAATATTTATCTGCTAGCATTCCTCACTATTGTTGTTATCCATCCCAAGTACATTGTGCAGTTAATATAGTTCCTTGGTGTTTTTCTCTTTTCACCCTGTGGGATTTTGGAGAAGTGGTTGCATATTTCAGTATAAACTAGCCCTTGGTTCGTCTCATGTTGAGGTTCTGACAATATGTTGGAGGAATATGATCCATCATTGCATTATCACTTGTGGTGGTGATGCGAGCAGCCCACATTGACAAGTGAGAAGTATACGTGCAGTAGTAGTAGTATGAAAGAGCAACGCATCTTTGTCGGAATTGTAGTGTCGGAGGTCAGATGGCGGCTTGGGTAGGTAGGGGGAAAGTAGTAGTGGAGTGATGATTTATACTGTAGAAACACTGAGTGAATGAATAGAACAGCTAGCATTAAAGTGAAGGGAAATTGCTTCTCCAAGCTCTGAAGGAATGAGATCAACCAGTTGTGTAATGTTCCGGGCATCTTGGAGAGATTCCTGGCTGTCCCATTAGCCTATCCATTCCTGCAATTTACTAGTACACTATTTATTGTCAGTGCCTCCTTTATCTGCAAACTGCACTTGAAATCAGGCAAATATGCACTTGATCATCCACTCCGACGTGAGGACTTCTTCGGCTGATGGTTTGCTCCTCCGGCGAGAATGCCAGCATTCAATGCATCAAGTCTAAGATAGCAGCCGCTTCCTCACTGTCAAAGTCACCTATCCCACGCTTCCGTCGATGCTTCAAATGCTTCATTGATTGGAGGCCGCACATCCCAACCCTCTTTTGGATGTCCATCCTGGTTAAAGAATTGACTCCCTTCATCCCAGTGCTCCCACCAGCTTAAGGGCAGTGGTCCCAGCACATCAATTTGCTGAGAGACAACCTCACCCACAGTTGCAAATTCTACTAAAAATGGCCTTCATACTGAGAATCTCCCAGAGTGTTGTGGCCAGACTCCAAATGTCTGCTGAATATGAGAGTGGGGCCTGTGGTGCAAATTGAACTTCTGGGGCTTGCATAAGTAGCTAATGGTGTGTGGCATTCTTCCCCACGACGAATTTCGAAAGCTGGGGCAAATGCCTCACCAAAGTCACTAAGAAGCAGCTGTGCATCAGATAGTGAAAATTCTTCTGCATCTTTCCCGAGATAGAGTGGTATAGATTCGCGTATCGATGCAGGCGACAATCATTGGGATTCGCTGCATAGTCTCTTCTATGACAGCGATTCCGACCCATCGGATACATCGATATCCATAGCTACGAATAAACGATCCCGCGACTATGAAGATGATGAGGAGAGCAACACCAGTTTTGCCCCACAGGGTAGCCCCTCCAGTGACAGCGACAGCGACAGCGAAACCTGGCAGTGGCCACGGGGGGCCTTGCTGGATGGTCATGAATATCTTCTTATTCTGCCAGGCAAACGCCGTCGGTCGAGATCTCGTTCATCAGTCAAACCCGAGATCGAAGACGTATCAGGTCGTTAGCCGGTCCTGTTTACTGCGACTGGCGCGGTGGCTGTTGGGTAGACTAGACATCGCTGGAGTCGGCTGTGCAAGGCTGCTGTGGAATCTCCCAACCGCCATATCTCAGAATATACCTGAACACATACATTATGAAGATGCTGTGTTAGAACAAAATGCCTAGTGATTCCTATTTTGATACCAGGGAGCAGGCATTCTCAGGCAAGACCCAACACGCTCGCCAATATTCTGTAAATAGAACTGTTTGACAAGAGTCTGATGAATTGCCGGTTGATAATCTTAAAACTACCATACAAAAAGACTTAAGCACAACCATAAGACTATAAGAATACCGAGCCCGAAGACAGAATCTTCCTATCCCTCCTGTCCTTCCCATACATCAAGGTCGAATCTAAATCCGTACCGGACTGATAGAGATCAGACAAACTGAGCAGTTCCTAGGACAAATGCTCTTTACCCGTAGAAACTGGCCGGACGATCATATTTGTCTCTTTATATAAGTAAGAGATATATATCTTTCAGAACAAACTTGATTTAATTCTGTAGCTTTCTTTGCTGCTAGATCAGCTTCTTCATTTCCATGTATATTCATATGTGCAGGAACCCAATGGAGATGTAGATTAATTTGCTGATTTTTAATGTACTTAGCAGTTTTTCTTATAGATTGAAGATAATATAAGCCAGAATTAAGATCTTGATTCATGAGTCTCTGAATAGCAGCTTGACTATCAGAAAACACCCAGATATCTGATATTGATTCTGATTGAGACTGAGAGATAGAACTTGCTAATTTAAATGCCCCTATCAAAGGCTTTGCACCTTAAGCTGCTATATACAATGCCTATAACAACCAACTGCTGCATCCATCCTGTCAGGCCCTCTTAGCAGGTTCTGCTTCCCTAGCTAAGGGCCACTGCCCACCTGGAACCCCCCAAGTTCCAGACTTCCAGCTACCAATCTCAGCATCCCAGCCTACCAATTGGCTGTTGCAGTCTTGTCCCAGGGGGCCTGGTCACCCCCTGGAACTAACCACCTATCCTTAGTAGAACAAAGCTTCAACTATAATGGTTTCTATACTATAAGGTAGTTCACCACTAAACAAGCCACACCACTAAATGAGCCAAATTTTCCACCATCAAATTTCTCCAATGTTCAACATTCAATATGCAACAATATGGTCAACAACACCTCAATTAGGCTTGCAATTGAAGATCTTGAATTGCAAGAGACCTCAAATTATGCTGTAACTACAAGAAAGTACTCAGTTAACTAAGAGACTCTGCACTGATAATATAAAGGCTTGCAACTTGCTCAGAATAAAGTGGCCTTCTAATATAAGAAAAAGCTCTCTAATATACAGGAGGCAGAGCTTCTGAATTATATAAATAAGCTCTCTAGCTGCAGTCTTGCCATTATATCTCAGATTCTATAAAATATTGTACAAGAGATAACAGAAGAGAATGTTGAAATTAACTAAGTTAATTAGTTTTGCAAGTAACATAATGACAAGATTAAATGCATTTATCTCAAAGCAATTAATTAAAACAGACAGATAGCAGATAATTATCAGTACTTTAAACACTTTTATATGCTTGTAATTTGATAATTTATTTGATTAATTGTAATTGTGATTGTTGATGCTGGCTAATTATTTGATACTTATAAAGTAGTTGAAGCAGAAAATTAATTAATATAATCTTAAGCTCTCAAATATCTATAATTTTGATGAAAAAGAATTTCTTCTAGACTTCTGCTATATCTTAAAGTGATTAGTCTCTATTAAAGTCTTATAAGCTGGAAAGAATGCTATTATTCAGAATAGTAGTTAGGAATTTCTCTTATTGCTCTGCTCAGTCTCTGCTGAAGAAATTGCACTATCTTCAGCTCTTATTTACTAGAGTGAATTGCAAGATCTCCAGAATACATAACTAGATAATTATAATAGAAGTAAATGAGTCTACTTTGCAGCTTCAACAAATAATTAAAGCAATAATAAATATAAACTGAAGTAGTTAAAATAGATTTTTAATAAGCATACTAAGAAACAAGCTGGTCAAGAAAGATGTCTGCTTCTACTAGATAAGCATTTGTCTCATATAAATATGAAATTTATCAAATATGCTGACTGTAAAAAGATTCTTCTTATAATTCTTCTGCTGCATTCAATTTACTATTTGCAATCTTTTGATATTGAAATCTTTAAGCTGCTGGACAAGATATATTTAAACAAGCTGAAAGCACTACTATATTATGAAATAAGCTATATTTGAATGACAAAAAGGAATTTCTGGAGACTATTCAATATAACTTGAAAGAAGGCTTTAACAGTTAAAAATATACTTGCTGGCTTTGTAAAGACTGGAATTAATTCTCTGAATTCTCAACATCAACTATACTGATTTGAAACTGCTCAAGTCTCTATACTGTCAGTTAAATCTTCTATTTCTAGCAATATACACCAGCTCTGACAAGAGATCAAGAGTATATGTCTCTAATACAGTCTAAATTTGTAGAGTATTGAACAGATTATTTAAGTTAGTAAGCAGTTTGTTCTTTATAATAAACTACTGAAATATAAAAATCAGTGTCTAAGATTAACTCTAGTAATAAAGAAGCAATGCTGCAAGTAAGACAAGTCTCTAGATCTACTTAATAAAGATAATTCTAGTTAAGTACAGTTCTGATCTTCAATAAAAGTTCTTAAGATATGTGAGTGTCTGGATGAAATAGAGACTGAAAAAGCTGATAAAATTACTCAAATATAACAGATAAAGCTTTAATAAGAGCTTTAAAAGAAGCAGACTGCTAGAAATACTGAAGAAAGATAAATTAAACAGAAGAATGTCTGTAAAAAGACTCATAAGTAATAAGAAACTGAAAAAATTAAATGTACTAGAGAAAGAGAGACACAACATGTTACTTGTAAGAAGAAGAAGACTTTACAACTAGTAGAGAAGGAAAAACAAATAGTTAAATGTGCTACTAAATACTAGCAGTCAGAGCTTCAAGCACTGGCTTCAAAGTACTGTTGGAAGAACTTCTCTACTAAAGATTCTTATTACAGAGAGTTTATATAATCTTCTAAAAGAGAAAGTAAGAGCTCTACAAGTCTCTCAAGCAAGATATTAGACTCTCTAGTCAAGAAATCTACTGTTGACATTTCTTTGAATTCTTTCCTATTTATCTCTCAGATCTCTTGCTCTGGCTGTAATATTAGACTGTTCACCTGTTTATTTTTCTAACTACACTAATTTCTATGCTTCAAAGAACACATTCATTTAATATTTAATAGCTATTTAATAATAAAGATCTGGTTGTTGAGATATTTAATAAATTTATTGCATGGAGTGTTTGGCAAAATTTAGCTTGTTTAGTGGTGTGGCTTGTTTAGTGGTGAACTACCTTAATAGTTTCTCTTCATATTTATAAATCTGAAAAGGTATCCTGAATGTTCTTAGATATATTTATTGATCAGAGATTTCAACATTTCCTGATTTCTATATTGAGAATCAGAAGCTATATTTTCAAATTTGGAATGTATATATTTTTAAACTGCCAAACAACTGTGGATTTGGATAAACATATATTCCAATGTAAATGTATCAGGACTAGTGGATCTACAGTTTACAAATCCTCTCCATTTCTGCTATGGGTGAGGTTGAGAGACATGTGACCACAAATTCTAGAACAATCCTTGTGTCAGGCACCCATCCTTCCCAATGATTCTCTCCCAACATTAACACTCATCACGCATGACTTACTGAGCCTGCATGCAATGCATGACCTAAGCTGACAAAATTGAGATCATTCATGCTTATTTTGACGCGCAAGCTCAAAGAATCACTACTTTGGACTGACTGATGTTCCTGAAGATAATTCATAGGAACCCTGAAATAGAAGCATATTTGTTATATTGAGTTTTATGTTGGTCACAATTCTTGTAATCCAATGGTGAACCAAAATTGTTTCTCTCAAGATTCCCTTTTTGGTGAGGTTGAAAAGTCAAAGGTGGGGCTTGGTGGGGTGGGCTCAGTCATATTTGATTTGAAGCAGGTTAGTGTCTTATCTTACACACGCAAGGTAAGTTAAATCAGTGTGTGTGTGTGTGTGTGTGTGTGTGTGTGTGTGTGTAATTCATATTTTTTGTAGGCCTTATGCAGTCAAAGACTATGAAGGCCACACTATCTGTCAACTAGTTACAGGCATGTGTTCTTCTTGATGTGGGGACTTCAGTTAAGTCATTCCATTTAACTAAGCTCAAACTGCACATGATTCCCAGGGGAGGCCATGAGGCCCCTTACAACTCACGTCATTCTCCTGACTGGAGCCATGCCCCAGTTGCCTCGGTAGGCACCTTCACTGTGTTTGCGCCGCGGGTAGCTCATACTATTTTACAGATCCAAGTTGCGATAATAAGTCTTCGGAAGGTTGCCGTTTCCATTTATCTTCTCCAAGTCCCGGCATGCAACATTGTGATGCTAGAGGTGTAAGGTAGTTCACCACTAAATGAGCCACACCACTAAATGAGCCAAATTTTCCACCACCAAATTTCTCCAACATTCAACATTCAATATGCAACAACATGGTCAACAACATCTTAATTAGACTTGCAATTGAAGATCTTGAATCACAAGAGATCTCAAATTACACTGCAACCATAAGAAAGTACTTAATTAATCAAGAGATTCTGCACTAACAGCATAAGAGCTTGCAACTTGCTCAGAATGAAGCAGCCTCTTAATATAAGAAAAAGCTTTCTAATATACAGAAGACAGAGCTTCTGAATTATATAAACAAGCTCTCTAGTTACAGTCTTGCCATTACATCTCAGATTCTACAAAATATCATACAAGAGATGACAGAAGAGAATGTTAGAATCAACTGAGTTAATTAGTTTTATAAGCAGTATAATAACAAGATTAAATGTATTTATCTTAAAGTAATTAATTAAAATAGACAGATAGCAGATAACTATCAGTACTTTAAGTACTTCTATATACTTA